TTATGTATTTTTAGAGCAAGGGAACCAAACAGCAAAAAAAATGCATGGCCCAGATGATCCAGCATCCAGAACAGCTACAAGGCTGCTGGCTGAGATGATCCAGTGTCACAAAACACTCCAGTCAATTATCCTGATTTTCTCAAGGTTCCACCAAAGATTCCCGACTCCCCAGACAACAGGAAGCAGTCTAGAAAAAAACATCACCCATAGTCCCAAAAGATGGGTTATCGATGTTTGTTATCATATAAGGGGGTTGGTTATAAGTTGTTATTGGTCATAAAAAAGTTAAATAGAAAGATCTCTTTGAATAAAGGGAAAATGGATATGATATAGAAATGATGAGATAAAAGGTTTGGGGAGCCTGTTTCTACTTCCCCTTCTCAGTGTTAATGAGACATGATCTGGTTTGAACCTGGACTAAATAGTCTCTCCCGGTCCTCTTTCCCATTCTCTTTTTCCCCGCATCCCCTCTTCTCTGCAGTCCTTGTTCTTCCCTCCCCTCCCTCCTTCGGCCTCTCCTCTTCCTGCTGTTCCCCCTTCTCTCACTTAAATCTCTCTTCAAAAAAGAAAGAAAGAAAGTCCAGCCAGAGCAGCCTAGTTCTTGGGCCCCACATGAGCTTCTTATCCCTTGCTCTATCCGTTTTATTCCCCCCTTAGCACTTTCTCACAAGATGGACAATGCCCGTTGTTAACTGGCCATCACCCACTGGTGAGTAAACTCATTATAAGCCCAAGGCTCATTAACTGCATGCACCTGGTAACTTGCCTTGCCTGAATGGTCCTGTTTGTACCTAGAATGCTGAGGGAAAGTCACTAGGAAAGAGGGTGCCCTTGTTGGGATTGTAAATCAAGCCCTAGCTGTGTGTGTGTTCCCCTAAGCAGAATACACCACGGAGATACTCTCCTCCTCTTCCCCAGGACCCACTCTCACACCCTGGGAGGGAGCTGCTGCCAGTCTCTGAGACTGCTAACTGGCTCACCTGTGGCAGGAAGGAATCCTTCTCTTCTCCGCCTCCACAGCCATCCCCAAACCTGGAGTGGCTTTCTGAGCCAAGAGGCCCATATGTGAGCATGGCTTAGAAAATAGCATCCTGCAAATGTTTTCATTCAACAGCAAAATCATTTGATTTCACTCAGGCTTGTCTTTGCAAGGGCAAGTGAAGCCAGCTTGACAGAGAGTCGTTAAATAGACTAATTAGGCAATGATTTAGAGAGGCAAGGACTGGGGAAGAGTTGGGCAACTAAGATTGGGTTCTGTCCCTTGCTAAGTAGCTGTGGGGCTTCAGGCAAGGCTAGCATTCTTGCTGTGCCTTTACGGACTCGTTTTTAATAGCGATGATATTCACAAAGTTATGTGAACTCAAGAAAATGATACACGCAAAACTGCTTTGGGTACTGGAGAGATGACTCAGAAGTTAGGAGCACTGACTGCTCTTCCAGAGGTTCTGGGTTCTCAATTCCCAGCATCTACATGGCTGCTCACAACTCATCTTTTAACTCCAGTTTCAGATTTGATGCCCTCTTCTGGCCTCTACCAGTACCAGGCACCCACGTGGTACCCAGACACATGCAGGCCTGCTAATCATACACATAAAATAATAGAATTTTAAAATATAACTGATTTATAAAGTGGGGTAATTACCCAAAACTATGTCAATATTATTTTGCTATTATTATTTGGAAGACTCTCCAGAGTAGCAAAGGGGAGGAACTTACAAATCAAAGGCACAGTACAGTGGGAATCAACAGTAACAATTATGGCCATTTAGCTATTTGAAATTGTAAGATCAGCCCTGAGTACCTGGATGTCAGTCCTGGATCAGAGGTCGGTACGCAGCCTTGGGCTAATGACTACCCTTTTACTGAGTCATAAAATGGAGATAATGAAAGGATTCATTTCTCAGGCTCCTTGGGAGGGTGGCAAGTGTTTAGAACAGTGTCTGGCATATATAAATGATCAGGAATAATGAATGCTAATATTTGTTTAACAACAATAAATAAAAATGCTAAGCTACTGCAGAATCCCACACACCCTCCAGTACATAACAGAGCTAGATAAATACCTCCAGCAGGCCACGTAAAAAAAATAAAAAAATAAAAAAACCTGGCATGTCAGCTCTCAACACTAACATCTCCCATTTACTCATGAACTCTGTTTCTCGGCCAACACAGGTAGAAAGTACAAACCCATGCTCCCATATCCTCTTCAGCAGATGTTCCGTTCCATTGACTGCAATGGTTCTCTTTGTTTGAATCAGGTCTGTACCACCCCCCAAAACCAGTCTCTCACAAACCCCAATGTCCCGTATCCATTATCCTGCTTACTTCCTCTGCATACAATTTCCCTCGCATGTTTTGATTGGCTTGCCCTCGACTTCCCCAACCGAATACAAGAGACCTGCTCGCTCCCCACAGAGACTGGAGCGCGCCGGGGACTCAGGTAGGAAACACTAAGATCCATGTCATAAAGGAGTGAAGCAATAAAAAAAATATCCCTCTGGAGGAGTTGACTCAGAAATTCATGTAGATGGCACATTTGAGATGCCTCCGCCAGGCTACTTTTCTGAAGCCCTGGAGGACGCACCATGCACAAATGGAAGCTGCACACCCAGGCCTCGGCTCCGTTCTTGGCTGATGGATGGTAAGACTTTAACCGTCTTTTATCTGTAAAACACACTCCACGACACTCCATCATTCAATTAGGATGTTAAAGGCTTACAACAAAATTAATTTGCTTATCACCAGGGAAATTAAAATGTCTGCAAATAAATTTTCCCCTGCAGCCCAGTTTCAGGTGGGTGGGTGATCCAGCCAATACATTGGCAGCATCGAGAACCACCGGGAGAGGATCGGGAAAACACATTTCCAGCTGCAAGGGAAAATCCAGCAAAGATGAGAAGAGGGAAAAGGAGAAAATCACTGGGTTTGAGGCTGTGTTTCTAATGCCTTCTCCAAAGTGCTGAGATGATTTAAGGGATTAAAAATCAAGCTATCCAGATAGCGGCTCACCTGCAGCAAGGCGCAATTCGGGTATTAATTCTAACTCAATGACTTGGGCCCCACGACTTAGCACAGTATTTGAGAGCATTTACTTTGCAATTAAGTAAACATAGGTTTGGATTCTATCTCTGACATTTGTGACCTTGGAATAGTTACTGACGTCTCTGAAACTAAGTTTTTCATCTAAGAAACAGGAGTCATGGGGTTAATCTCCTGGGGTGTCATGGTACCCAAAGCAAAGCAGGTGCAAAATATAAAAATATGGTCTTACTGTATTATTGATAAGAATTAGTGGTGCAAAAATGCTAATAATAACTACAACAATAAACGGCCTTGCATGAAAGCGATGGCACTTAACCCAAAGCAGAAAGATGGAAACAAAAGCCCACCGGAAACTCTAACTCTCCTGGAAATTTCCTCAGAGCGCCATGCTCAGGATCCGAGAAGACACTCCTGTTCTACAAGGTCTGCAGCGAGGTGTCCTGAATTGATTACCAAAAGACATATACACCCTATGTGACCCATAAACGAACCCAGTCACCCAGCCCAAATCTCTCCTCACCTGCCTCCTCCCAAACAGAAGGATGGAGCAAGAAGGAAGTGATGCAGGGGACTCCCAGGGCGTGGGAACAAGGGAATGGGAACCAGAGGCCAGAGGCTTATGAGATTGGTCTTGAGAATCAAAGACAAATGGGGGGAGGGTGGAGCAGCCAGGGGAACGGAGGCAGAAGAGGCTTGATCTCTTAGATCCTTGCTCTAAGGAACCAGCATCCTAGAGACGGGTTGGGATGGTCCAGCACTCCCACACTATCCCTCTAGGGCACTTGCTCTTCATCTGTTTTCCTAACGTTATCAGCCACTAGACAAACACCTTCCCCACCTGAACGTGGGTGTGGGATTTTCTGAGGGAGAAGAGTGAAAACATGGATAAAGCCAGGGCCAGAGAGAAACCCAACTGTAAGCTGAAAATCTGAATGTGGCTCCAGCTGGGAAATCCAACTCAGTGCCGTGGCCAAGATGAACTGAAGAAAGAGTTTAAGGGGAAAAAATAGTGTGGCTGGGATGTGACTCAGTGGTAGAGTTTGGCACATACAAGACCCCCAAATCCAATCTCCAACACTGTAATGAAAACACGCGTACATTCAGCTTGTCCAGAATCAGCAAATTCAGGGGATTTACAGGAGAGGAAAAACAAAAAACAAAAACAAAACAAAACAAAAGTGATTTAAGGTGTGACTCTCTTTCTCCCCAGTCAAGAATCCAAACATGGATCTTTGCTAGTTATTTGTGCTAAGCAGGATATTGTCTGCAACTGAGCAATCGGGTAAGCGAAGATAAACAGACTTGCTCTCATATCTAAAGCAAACTCTCTGGCCTAACAATTCCCCCTTCTGATGGCTCAGGCCAGGCAACCGACATTTTCCTACCCTTGCGACTTTGAGTTCCTTGGAAAGAAGGAGGGCCAGAAGAGGGGCTGGTGAACTTCTGCGCTTAATTGCAAGGCTGTGGTAGCACGCAGCACCATGCCATCAGGGGGCTGCACCAGGTGACATTTGTGCAGTCCATATTCATTCACAGCTGCGGGCGGGTTGATCCAGGGCACCAATTATCTAATTGCTGCTAATGTTCCGTGTATTTACTCAGCTGCAAATTTGCAAGATGGGGCCTGACTCACAAGAAGGGGATAATAATGGAAGATATATTTCCATTTGAAATTTCATGAATAAACAGCAAGCACCCTGTTTATTAAAATTCAGATGCAGATAAACAATGAGTATAGTTCCAGGAATAATTGCAGGGTTTCCACAGTTACAGAAAACCAGTCCCTTTGTCAACACTCCATTGTTCTATTTATACCTTGGGAGATATCATACTAGCTTTCTATAAATACAATGGAAACTCATTCATCTCAAACCCTCTCACGTGTCAAGTCCCAACCTTCTCTGGAAAAAAAAAATGAGCTGCATCCCGAGCGTCCCTGACACGGAGTATCCCTGACAGTAGGTCTCAAGACTGTCGTGCATGAATCCTTCCTAATAGAATGGATAAAGAGCAGGCTTGGACTGGGCTGGGCAGGAGAGAGGCAGCCGCGTACATTCTAGGCTGGTTTCAGAAGCAGGTGTGGAGCGGCAGCATTTCAGCTGCTTCAGCCGCTCACAGCCCCGAGTTTTAAGAACCTCAGCCATTAGAAGCAGATGAACCGTTCAAGGAGTCTCTCTGTGTGGGTGAGTGGATCTCATCAGTGACGTTCATTTATATGCCTTCTTTGGGTCCTCCTCTGCATGTAAGGCTGGTCTCTTCCAGTCCACTGCAAACACCTCACAGCAGTCAAGAATCTGCCCTTTTCCTTTCCTCTCACGGTGCCCAGAATCACACTTAGTACTTATGACATAGTGCTGTTCAGAAAGTCTCCTTCAATAAGCTATTCCGGTTCCTACTATTTCCCAAAGCACTCCCTGCTCCCATAGATGTTCCTTACTTGGGCTGATCTCAGAGCCAACTAATAGTTATAAGAATGCCATATTTAAGGTGATGGTTTAACGGATTTTCATCACATATAAAACCTAATATACATACTAGCTTTGTGAATTGACTCTTTTTTTCTTTTTAGTAAAGTAAAATAGGAAGGGTAAAGTTGCAGGGGCACACAGTAAGTACAGAACCAGAACTTGAACCCAAAACTCTCTGAAACTAAAGCAGGTGCTCTTTGCTATTATATCACCAAACTCGCTAATCTCACACCACACACACACACACACACACGCACGCACGCACACACGCACGCACACACACACGCACACACACACACACACACGCATGCACTGAAAGCATTAGTGCCTGTCTCTCTCCATTGTCCCTAGTCTGCAAGAACTGGCCCTCCATCCATAGCAATCTCTCATATGCCCACACTGATCCGTCTCATCACAGAGATACAGAATTTACACACACTTGCTCACGTGTGTGTGCATATAACTAAAATAAATACTTGTAGATTACATATATACACGTGGATAAATAAATCCAAGAGTTCTCGTCGGTGCCTCCTTACAGGTAAGGCAAAATTATCCACAGGGAAGTGAGGCAGTGTCTGAAATGGGGCCCTGCTGGATATGTAGTGCCTCTTACCAGCTGACATCCCATATGCTGCAGTGGAGACAGACTCATTAAGGGCTTTCCACGCACGGATTTTAATTCCGATGGCCTCCTTCGGTGCTAAGTCCCTCCAGCATCGCTAGTCCCTGAACGTTCTCAGGTGTCGGAGCCAAAGCAGAGGGGACTGAAAGAGAAGCAGCGGCAGGGAAGGGTATCCAAGCCGCTGGGGAGACATTTTAGACTCTGGTGCCCTGTTCATTAGAGAGAGATTTCTCTTCACAGACTCAGTTGGTAGATGGTAGAATAAGGTCTAGCCTTCAGATCTGCGCCCAGCAGCCCTACAGATAGAAGGGATGCCAACTGTGAGATCAAATACTGGCGGCCCTGAAAGTTGATCATCACCCATTCTGGCCTATAAGTTCTAGATGGTGCTGCCATCCTCCACCGAGTGACTGAGCATCTCTCTGAAGAGGTGGTCGTTCAGTCTAGAATGGGCTCCCTCACTCTTCCTTGGCTCTTGATTCCGGCCCATCTCATGCCGATCCTGCCAGAGGCGTCACCTGCGTTTCCACTCTCATCTACCCAGCTCTTGCTTTTCCCATCAGCCGAGCTGTGTGTTTACAAACCCAGTTGTCTCTGTTCCCGAAGAACTTACAGTCATCATATTTGTTATTATATCCATGCTGTTCAATAGGATGTAAATCAACAGATGATTAATACAAAAAGTCCAGTTTTCTATCAATATTTACTCAGATGTTTTTGCAAAATCTTGATTAAGATGAGTCACTTTTAAGAAACGTAGTTTCAAGGGCTGGAGCGATGGCTCAGTGGTTAGGAGTACTTGCTGCTCTTGCCGAGGACCAAGGTTCGATGCCCAGCACCTACACGGTGACTCACAACTGTCTGTAACTCCAATCCTGTGATCTGGCCCCCATGAACACATGCATGGAGGTGAGACAGATACACATAAGCAGGCAAAACACTCATACACATACATAAATTTAAAAATGTATTTTCACAGACATGATGGTACATGCCTGTAACCCCAGCATTCTGCAGGGTGATGAAGGAGGACTGCAAACGCCAAGCTAACCCTGGATTACCTGGTAAGGGCCTGTCCGAGGAAAGCATAAAGGGAGTGAAGGGGTCAGAAGGAAGGAGTTTGAATTAGACATAAGTGGAGCAAGAAAAGTATCCCTGGAGTGAGGAGAAATTCAGAGCGTTTTCCAGTCCCTCAACCAAAACAAAAACCATAAACACCAAAAGTGGCTAGTTATAAATGTACTTTAAATAAGAAAGGCAAGGCCGGGCGGTGGTGGTGCACACCTTTAATCCCAGCACTCGGGAGGCAGAGGCAGGCGGATCTCTGTGAGTTCGAGACCAGCTTGGTCTACAAGAGCTAGTTCCAGGACAGGCTCCAAAGCCACAGAGAAACCCTGTCCCGAAAAACCAGAAAAAAAAAAAAAAAGAAAGGCAAGATAACCACAAGCCTGATCAGCAGATCAACATTCAGAATATGACCTGCCTATGTCAAAAGAATAAGCACACAGCGCTGACTCTGTGCCTGAAGCGAAAACTGTCCGTTCACGGCATCGTGGATTTTTTGTGACTGTCCAACATTTCAGACAAATTTTCAGAAGCCAACAACAGGCCTCCTTTATGAGACACAAATGGCCACAGATAAGTGAGTGCTGAAACAATGGCCACAGCTGAGGAAATGAAGGGAGATGTAGACTATCTGAACTGGACTGTGGAGAGTGGGTTCCAAAAAGAGGAGGAGAAAGCCCTTCAGAAAGCCTCCCTCTGCTGAGAGCTGTGGCCAGGCCTGCCTCTATTTTTAGCTTCTGCTGCCCTCAGGCCTGCAATACTCGGTAAATATCACAGGTGTGAACTGGGATGGGCCGTCTGTCCTGACTGACAAGAACCCACAGCAGGGCTAAGGGGCTCAGTTTACAATACCCAAATTATTTCCCTCCTGTTTGGTGATGTTTCTCTCTAAAATGGAATGCTTCCCCAACAGGCCCAATCCCACTGAAACGCATGATAGATTAGATTACCTGATACACTCTCCACCTTCCAGGAAACTTCCTCCTAACCACAGTGATGGCTATTTCTTTCCAGATGGTTGCTGACAACATTTCAAAAGGAATCTTCACACGCTCTGATTTTTACCCTTGACTAGCTGACTTTAATGGTAATCTCCTTAGGTCTGGAGTCCAGATGGAGTGGAAAATCTCTTTGATTTCTTTCAGAAGGGAACTTCACTAGAAAATGGGCCCACTGGGCCACTCATAAACTGTGTTTTCCTTTGTTCTCTGCTCCTCACCCCAACCCTTGCCATCTTGTCTCTACCATCCCTCTGGCATTCTTGAGAATACAACCCTTAATAAAGAGGCTGCAATCCCCCCTTGGACTCTAGTGTGATCTTTGTGGCAGGAAAATCTAAGCTCTTATCTGATCAATAGATTTGAAGAGTTAACTCCTTTAGGTTAATTAGTTTGGCCATTTGAAGGGCTGCCCATAGCAAAAACTATAGTGGGAGATAATTGCTCAATAAAGACAAACAGGATGGATGGGTGGATGGATGATGGATGGATGGATATGGGTGAGCAGATGAATGAACAGAGGGATGTACAGAGGGACAGACTGATGGATAGAGGATCAGTCAATGACCTTTGGAACAGCCCTTTGGAATGAGGAAGGTCAACATTTTCAAAGATGTGGATAGTTACTTCTGCTCAGTCATGTGTTCTAGAACTCTGTGGTTGTTTGTCTAGTACCATTCTGTTAGACCCCACGCGCCTGAATTCTGTCACTGGTTCAGGAAGAATTTTTTTCCCTGATTTTACTTCTATGGAACTAAGATAGGCCCCTGAGTCCAATCCAAGGTCCATACGGTCCCTAAGACAAAAAATGCAGCCATTGGAAATGGACCCTTAGCAATTTCACTTAAATACTGAATCTTGTAACAGAGCTCTGCAGGGAAAACAAAGCAGGCCCGCTGGGGATGCGGGAACACAGAGCTGGGGATGCGGGAACACAGGGCTGGGGATGCAGGGGAAACAGAGCAGGCACGCTGGAGATGCGGGAACATATAGAAAACGTTGTGTATTTCAGCTAGGGGCAGAGAAAGCCATGGTGGCAGACTCCAGCAGGGTGTGCACCCCTGCTCTGTGAACTGACACCAAGTCTGGCCCTCTACCTATTTCATAACAGACATTTTATTGAAATACGCGTTCTGTCAATCATGTGTGTGCTATGTGAGGCGGTTCTTGCACAATAACTGAGCCAAGTAGCCCACCCTGTGGCTGGCAAAACCCGAAGTATTTACTATCTGCCCTTCACAGACCAAGGGTTGCAGATTCTGTTGCAGGCTCTTGAAACACACACATACACATACACACACACACACACACACACACACACACACACACGTTTTCATCAACAACAGCAGCAGGAATGAAGGAACAGGGTGCTGATGTTCTCAGGGCTGGGAAGGATCATTTTTTTTCTGCCTGATACAAAAAAAAAATCACAAAACCAATTACCTCAGTACTTTATACCTGCTTAGAGGCCTCTTGTCAATAATATCTACTCTTGCCTGAACTCTTGAACCAGCCAGATACTTCTTTCATTACCACCGCATTTAGGATTGGCAATCAGTGGAAAAGCTACAGAAAACAAAACTTCTTTTCCACTCCATTCTAAGAGAAAAATCGGCGAAGTGCACAGTGAATGCAGCAGTACAATAAATGGGAACTCCGCATGCGCGGTAAAACGGTGCGGATCTCATTAAATGATTTCTGGGCTATTATCCTCTGGGCTCACCAATGGATGTGAATGGACTCTCCAGTGAAAGCAGATGTTTAAGGTAGCACCCTTTTAAAGGAAATAGCATACTGGAATCAGAAAGGATGGAGAGCGATTATGACGAGGCCTGATTTGAAATTAAGAGTGCTATTTTCTGTCTTTAGGCTTTGCCATGGATAGTGCCTCGCAAATCCTTTAACCCCCGTGACGTCTCACTTCTTAAACCCTCTAACTGAAGGAAATCACGCCCATCTCCTAAGCCTTTCCTCTTTGCTCCAAACCAGTGATTCGGAAAGGCTGAGCGCAGAGCGCTGCTGTGAGCTGCTGAGGAGCCCCTCACGCTTAATGTACCCTGTCTTCTCCAGCTCCAGCCCACCTCCAGGGAGGGAGAACCCACAGGGAAAATGAACACGGCACAGTGCAACAAGATTCAAAGGTTCAAGGGCAAACGACATTGCAACTCCTTCACAAACTTTATTCTATATGTAGTTAACCAAGAATAGAACTCCTTTAAGAGGCAAACTTCAGTATCTTCCTCCTGAGGCTGAGCAAATGCAGTCTTCTGCCTGCCTGAGTAACTTTACCTTGCATGTAGTTAGGTTGGATATTCGAAGATGTGGGTCACTTTCTCCAAGTTGATGAGCATTGTGGCTGCAGGGTCCAGTACATTCTTATTTCTCATAATTACATTTTTTGTTGCAGCTAACACTAATGCCAAGTCCTTGGTTTTTATTTCAAGGGTGGGGCTGGCTCTGTGAAGCAGAGGATCTACAATCTTAGTACCCTGGGGCTTCACCCTACAACAGCTGGATATCAGTGTGATCATGCCTGGCTCTCCTCCTCCTCCCTACTCCATTTCATTCTGGCTTTGTTTTGTTTTGTGAGACAGGGTTTCTCTGTATAACAGCTCTGGTTGTCCTGGAACCCCCTCTGTGGACCAGGCTAGCCTCAAACTCACAGAGATCCACTTGACTCTGCCTCTCGGGGAACTGGAACTAAAAGCACGCACTATCATGGCCTGGCTCAATTTCATTCTTATGTGGCTATAAATCAAAAGCTCTGCCTCTACAAACTGACCAGTTAAACAAGGGGTAGTGCACCAATCAGAGATAGCAATTTCAGGGATAAAGGTACAAAGATGAAGAAGAGAGAGAGGAGGATAAAAAAAAAAAACTAACTTTCCATTGGTTCACAAAGGCTCCAAATTAAGCTACCTCAATCTGCACTTTTTGGCTGAGTTTCCATCTTAAGTTGACATTGCTTGTCCTAAATCTTCTTGATCACTACAGCAGCCACACCACTCAAGATATCTCATTTCCCTTCCCAAGGTGATGAAGGGACAGCAGTGGTGGCTGAGGGCAGATCACCACTGTCCCAGTGTCCCGATGTCACAGCTCCACACATAAGGTGAGTCGGGAATGTGAAGTGCAACTGGAGGCATCGCTTACGGTGAACACTGACTGGTGAGACAGGAGTGTCGCCCTTTGTCAACAGCCCTCTTGGGTGGGAATTTATTACATTTGTTTTTAGAGCTGGGTGAGGAAATGATTTAAAATAATTTCGAATGCACTGACTATAACTGCATCCAGGTACAATTATTGTGGCAGGAAAATCTCCCATCTCTTAAAACTTTTAGTATTTTTCATCTGTTTACTTCTGTTTTCAGAAAGTCAAGAATTTCTAATTATTTTTTGGCTCTTTAATATTTTGCTTCCAAGTTCTCTCTCTCTCTCTTTTTTTACTTGAAATGATTTTTTTCATATAATATATTCTGTTACAGTTTTCCCCTCACCCAAGTCCTCAGAGATACTCTGCATTTCCCCATCCACCCAAATTCCTCTCTTATATAAAATAATAATGATAATAATAATATAAAGTCAAAAATCAAACAAACCATACTAGAGCAAAATAAACAAACAGAAAAAAAGAGTAAACAAAAAGAACAAAACGATGCATATAGGTGTAAAGACATACATGGTCACACACTCAGAAATACCATAAAAAGATACAAAACTAGAAACCATATTAGATTTGAAAAGGACCTATAAGGAAAAGCAAACAAACAAAGCCCAGAGACAGCATTGAGAGCCCAAGAACCTCCAAAATTGGCATTGGGCTCATTTTGTGTTGGCCATCTCCTGCTGGGCTCGGAGGATGCATCCTAAGTGTGGTCTGTATAACCAGGGAAAACCCAATAGAGAAAATGAATTCTTCCTTTGTGAGTAGTTATCAACTAGGAATAGCTTCTGACTTAGGGAAGGGACCTGGGTCAACTTCCTTTCTCAGTGCTGAGACTCCTCTGGCCCAGAGCTATACAGACCCGTTCGTGCTTCCACAGTCTCTGTGAGTTCATATGTGTGTTAGTCCTGCAGTGTTTGGAAGGCCTTGTTTCCTTGGTGTCCTCCATCCCCTCTGATTTTTATAATCCTTACATTTCTTCTTCCACAAGGTTCCTTGTGTCCTAGGGGAGGGACTTTATGGAAACACCCCACATATGACTGAGTGTTCCCAGGTCTTGTGTCCTAGGGGAGGGACTTTATAGGAACACCCCACGTATGACTGAGTGTTCCCAGGTCTCTCACTCTCTGCACACTGTCAAGTTGTGGGTATTTGTTCCCATCCTACTGCAGAAGGAAGTTTCTCCGATGATGGCTGAGCAAGCCACTGATCTATGAAAAAAGCAGAAGCAATGCAAAGATGTGATGCATTCTCTTATGTTGCATTTGTTTAACTCTGTGAAGCTGTGTTACTTTTCCTGACTAAAACACCCAATTGGTCTAATAAAGAGTTAAATGTACAATAGCTAGGCAAGAAAGGAATAAGTCTGGCTGCCAGGCAGAGAAAATAAATAAAAGGAGAAGAAGGGAGGAACAGGGGGAAAAAGAGAAGGAGAAGAGGATGCCAGGAGCCAGCAAGCCAGTCACACAGTCAGCCCTGGAGTAAGAAGTAAAGAAAGAAATATAAAATAGAGGAAGGAAAAAGCCAGAGGGAAAAGTTAGACAGAATAATTTAAGTTAGAAAAGATGGCTAGAAACAAGCTAAGTTAAGGCCAGGCATTCATAGGGAAGAATAAGTCTTCATGTATTTATTTGGGAGCTAGGTAGTGAGTCTCCAAAGAGCAAAGAGTAAAAACAAAGGCAACTACAATAGCACATTTGTGCCCCTGTGTCAGAGGTATGGTCACCCATGAGCTAAACCCATAAGCTAAAGAGTGGCATGGAACATAATCTTCTAAACATCAAATGCAAAATAAATGTTTTTAAAAAGAGCTCAACATGTATTTGCATGTATTAAACCTGTTCTGTGCTTGCCATGATGAGACTACCTATGTTTGCCTGTATGTACACCACTTTGATATGCTTGTTGAGTAACAATACAGTGATTACAAACAAGGCAATCTGGGTCCATGTCCTAGTGCCCTCCATAGTGCACTGTAACTCTGTACTACAATCCATGTCTGCACATTGGGTCGCTAAACTTAGCCCTGCTTCTCAAATGTTATGAAAAGAAACTGGAAGTTTTGATAAAATGAAAGGCTGCTTAGAGGACTCAGATGATCTGTGGC